AGAGGAAGAAATTGATACCTATGGTGGTATGGCCTAGGGTAAATTCCAGTAAATAAATTAAATTAAAATAAATTAAAAATAAATAATAATAATAAAAAATTAATTAAAAAACAGGATGTAGTCAGTCAGCAAGTAATAAGAATTAGAATCTTTGTTCAGGCCTTGCCCTGGTCATTGAGGCAAACTCAGGCAAAGAAAGATAAAACTATTTAAGTTTGTCCTTCATTCTCAAAGAGGACCATGACATCAGGAAGGTGATGCCATGACTTGCAAGTGAATTGGATTTAAGTGAAAGAGGACTGTACAAAGTCACCAACCTCACTCTCTCCTCTAGAGTCATCTGGGTCCAGTGACAAGATATAGATCAGGATGACTAGAGATGGCCCTGGATGCAGTGGGAGACCTTAGCCTTTTTAAGCTAAAGTGTTTCCCAGGTCTCAGTTTGACTGAGGCAACACCCATTCAGTGATTAAGATTAGGTAGGGGGGCAGCTAGGTGGTGCAGTGGTTAGAGCACTGGCCTTGAAGTCAGGAGGACCTGAGTTCAAATCTGGCCTCAGACCAAACACTTGTCACTTACTAGCTGTGTGACCCTGGGCAAGTCACTTAACCCCAATTGTCTTAAAAAAAAAAAAGAAAAGATTAGGTAGGAAATGAGGCAAGAAATGGGACAGGAAGGTAATATTTTATTAGTACAACAAGGCAGCAAGTAACTGGAGTGCGGCTGGTGCAGCTTTTATTGTTATTGTTTTGTGAGTTTGTCATATCTGACTCTTCCTGAGGCTTGAACCTTAGGGAGTATTTGAATAATCATTACATAAAGATGAAGGTGGGGGGTATTCCCTATCCAGAAGCCCATTTTACAATAGGGCATTTTATCCCAAAAGACATATAAGTAGAAAAATTAGGAGAAGAATTAAGTTGTCTTTTAAGTTATTAAGACGTTGACCCAGAAAATGTGCAGATATTGCAAAATGCTACATTGTTCTCAGTTTTCTATCCAAAGATGCAAGCTAGTATAATGGAAATAACACTGGATTTGCATTCAGAAGATGGGTTCGAATCCTATCTCTGCACTCATTAGTTGTATGACTTTGGGAAAGTTACCCTCTCTGGGTCTGAATTTTTCACCTATATAATAAAGGAGTTGGGCTAAATGATCTCTCAGGTTTTTTCTAATGCATAATTCTAATTCAACCAATATTTATTGAGTGTCTACCATTGTACTGCTTAAAAAGGCCTGAGTGACTGGGTGGTATCATACATGGAAAGAGACATTTATAGGGAAAAATATTACTTTGGGAGAGGAAGGGAGAGCTGATGAGTCCATTTTGGATAGGCTGAGCTTGAAGTACTGGAGGAACTCCAGGATGTAGTTAGCCAGCAATAAGAATATGGGACTGAAACACCAGGGATATTTGAGAGAGTGGGGGTGGAGTTATAGATTTGGTAGTAAAGATTATGAATGATTGAGATAACAGAGACTATAGACAGAGCCAAGAACAGGGCCAAGAACAAAACCTTTTGGATTTCATCTTAAGTCTTTTCCTTCTTCTCTCCCTTCTTTCCTTCCTTCCTTCTTTCCTATAGCTGCTGCAAATGAGGAATGTGACAGTAGAACATGATATCTCAATCTAAAGCTTCAAAATAGAGGGCTGTAGGGTGGAGGTGAAATAGAGAGGAGTGCTCTCTGTAGAGATCTAGCTAAGATTGCACCTAATCAACAAGCAGATGATAAGAGACTGGCTGAGGACTCCTGATCTAATACTTCAATATATACTCCAAAATTTTCCTCTACGGTCCACATCATCAGATGCTTCTGGTCTCAAGTTACTCCACCTATAAATTAAATATAAAAATCTGTGGATGGATAATGTTTTAAAATGAACAGAGGAGGGTGGAGCCAAGATGGTGGAATCAGCTGAAATCTCTCAACATTTCCTTTCAAACAACTTTAAAATAACTTCTCAAATCAAATTTTGGAGCAGCAGAGCCAACAAAGGGTCAGAGTGAGACATTTTTCCAGCCTAAGATAACTTAGGAGGTCCAAAAAAAGAGGTCTATGGGGGCAGTGAGTTGGCATAGTGGATAGAGCACCAGCCCTCAAGTCAGGAGGACCTGAGTTCAAATCTGGCCTCAGACCAAACACTTGCCACTTACTAGCTGTGTGACCCTGGGCAAGTCACTTAACACCAATTGCCTAAAAATTAAAAAATAAATAAATAAAAAGAGGTCCATGACACCATGTTTGGAATGGTTCCAGGGGGTAGTAGCATCAGTGGTAGACCTTGGAGGTGACTACAATGGCAGCAGGAGCAACAGCTTCTTTGGGAGCTCTCAGCTAGATGACTGGTCAGTCACTGGGTGCAGTTGCTGCTGATTGGCAACTCAATTGCCGATAGGCAGTTCAGGGTAACAGTTCAAGGGTGTAGAGGAGTGCTTGGGATCAGTCACAAGGAGCAAGGTCCCTACTCACAGTTATAAGGCTGAGGGGAGCACTAGCTCTTATGGCTGCAGGAGAGCAGGGGATCTGGTCACAGTTCCAGGGCCAAGAGAAGCACTAGTGCTTGCTGCTACAGAGGAGCGGGAGCTTTTCCTAGGTAAATACCAGAGCACAGACCAGGAAAGCAGGGACCACACCTCTCTCCAGATCACATCACCTTTGAAGCACCGAAAATTTTTAGACCTCCAGAATTAGCTCTGAAAACAGCAGCATGAGAAACCCTAAAGTTTGGGACAGTACTTCCCCACCCCGAGGTGAGCAGAGCTAAACTTTAACATAGAGTTCAAAGTCAAGAAATAGGCTGGAGAAATGAGCAAACAACAACAACAAAAAAAGAACCTGACCATAAAAAGCTAAGACAGTGGCAGGGAAGACCAAGACATAAACTCAGAAGAAGACACCATTGTGAGAACAGCTGCAAACAAAGCCTCAGAGAAAAATGTTAATTGGATCCAACTCCAATAAGAATTCCTGGTAGAGTTAAAGAAAGAGATGAGGGTGGTAGAGGAAAAACTGGGGAAAGAAATGAGAATGATACAAAAAGATTATGAAAAGATAATTAACAGCTTGGTAAAAGAGGCACAAAAAAAATACTGAAGACAATAACTTCTTAAAAAACAGAATTGGTCTAATGGTAAAAGAAGCACAAAAAATTTACTGAAGAAAAGAATTCCTTAAGAAGATGAATAGGCCAAATAGAAAGGGAGGTACTGTTACATTTGAAAATTAAAGTAAACTGAGAGACAATAATTAAGCACAATCAATTTATTAGTTAGGCTAGCAGTAAACAACAAATTGGTTCAATGTCCTCTCTTAATGACCAAAGACTCTGAGTTAGGGTTCACCAGCATTATATAGTTTTGGGGAATACAGAGTTGGGTAGGTGAGGAAGACAATATGATTAGTTACAAAGTAGACAGCATTTTGGGGGGTTGGGACAATATGATTGGTTATTTTAAAGAAAATAGGGCTAGTGACTACCCCTCTCTGACAATTAAAGAATGTTAATTGTTTTATGGGATCCATCAATTTTTGCAGGTCTTGTTAACAAACCTGAGTTGGTACTAGAAGGGTTTGTTAGAGAGAGAAGAATTTTACAAGGATAAACAAATATGGACAATATGCCTTTTGGGGATAATAAGTTAACCTGTAACTAACTGAGAGGAAAAGCTAACTCACAGAGAAATGTAGACTGAATGATTATACAAAATGGGGCAGTGATATAGAATACGGTTAATTACAGGATAGAATAAATTGTTAAATGATGTAGAATAATTTTAGTTTCCTCAGCACAGAAGAAAATAACTCCTTAAAAAGTAGAATTGGCCAAAATGGAAAAAAAAAGTACAAAAGCTCACTGAAGAAGACAATTCTTTAAAAAATTAAAATTGAGCTTGTCAAAGCTAATGACTCTATGAGACAGCAAGAAACAATGAGACAAAATCGAAAGAATGAAAAGAGAGAAGAAAATATCTTATTAGAAAAACAACTGACCTGGAAAATAGATCAAAGAGAGATCATTTAAGAGTTGTTGGATTATGCCCAAAGGGATATAAAATCGTGCATACCATTTGATCCAGCAATACAACTGCTAAGTCTGTAGTCCAAAGAGATCATAAAAATGGGAAAAGGTCCCACATGTACAAAAATATTTATAGCAGCTCTTTTTGTGGTGGCAAAGAATTGGAAATTGAGGGGATGCCCATCAATTGGGGAATGGCTGAACAAGTTGTGGTATATGATTGTAATAATGCACTGTTGTAATGTGGGAAATGATGAGAGGGGTGGTTTCAGAAAAATATGGCAGGATCTATATGAACTGATGCAAAGTGAAGCAAGAAGAACCAGGAGATCATTGTGCACAGTAACAGGAATGTTGTAATGATAACCATCTATGAAGGTCTTGGTTACTCTGATCAATACAATGATCCAAGACAATTCCAAAGGACACATGATGAAAACATGTTATCCATCTCCAGAGAGAGAACTAATGAACTCTGAGTGCAAATTGAAGTATCATTTTCTTACTTTCTTAATTTTTCTTGTGTGCGTGCGTGTGTGTGTGTGTGTGTGTGTGTGTGTGATATGGCTAATATGGAAATATATTTTTACATGATTCCATATGTATAATTAATTGATAACATATTACTTGCCTTCTTAGCAGATGGGAGAGAGTTTGGAGGGATGGAGAGAATTTGAAATTCAAAATTTAAAAAGAAAATATTTTAAATAAATAAATAATAATTTAAAAAAAAATAAAAGAAGTGAACAGATGAATTGAGTGCTATGCTAATGGAATACTTTAAAAGTATTTAGTAGCATTAAGGGGGAAAGGCCAAAGTAGCATAATTATACTCACTAATTAAATTTGCAAATTTCCTTAAAAATAAAAATGAAACTTTTCAAACTTCCTTCTTGGTGATATATCTCTTCTGTTTCCAAAGAGATTTTTGCCCCCATTAATTCTAGTGCCTTTTTTATTGCTGTTTTGATTCTAGTGATTGAAATGGATGAAAATAATGGACTTTTGCTAATAGAACTGAATCCTCCTAACCCTTGGGATGCAGACCCTCATCCTCCTAAGGACTTAGCTTTTGGAGAGGTGCAGGTAATGATGATGATAATGATAATGATGATGATGATAACAATTTGTATAGTATTTTAAAGATTGCAAAGTGCTTTATATGTATTATCTCATGTGAATCTCACAGTCCCTATGTAAAGTATTAGGTTCAGAGAGCTTTAAGTGACTCACTCAAGGTCGCACAACTAGTTAAGTGTCAGAGGCAAAATTTGAACCTAGTTCTTCCTAACTTCATATTTATCACTCTGCTTTATCACTCTGACCCTATGTCCAGGCTTATTAAATTCAAGAACATTCAACAAGCATAGATTAGACAAGTACTACATGCCAAGCACTGTGCAGGTTATGTGTGTGTGTGTGTGTGTGTGTGTGTGTGTATGTGTGTATGTGTATGTGTGTGTGTGAGATATTCAGGGGCAGAACAGCAAACTTGGATAAAACCCAGGCCCTTGTCCATATACATGAATAATTGTCACGTAGGAGAAAGGAATCAGGTACACAAATAAAACTTCTGGGCTCTACATCGATTTTCATTCCTTCATCAAGTTTAGTAAACAACATTCCTAGCCACTAACTTGATCCTATTCCCAAATAAAAACCAGTTTCTGGGAATTCCTATGTTTATCTAGATGATTGCATTAGATTCAACAAATGCCAAACTTTCTGTGGTTCTCAGAGACCACACAATCTTCCCCACCCCAACCCCTGCCCCAAAGCTATTTCTTTTTGTGTGGCTTGAGTTATAAATCTAAAGAATGTGGTTAGTGTCAGTTTACCCACCAGAATAGCTCTGAGCTCGCATTTAAGTCCAAAAGTCCTGTTTCCACCCTAAATCTGTTGATCCCTGGTCATATGACAGGCTAACTACATCAGCAGACACAGATGTGCCAATTTTTATACAATATTTTTAATTCTTTGGCATATAACTAGGAAGAAGAATAAAATAATAATTAATACACTATCTATTCATGCCTCCAGCTTTTCCCAGACTTAGACAGACTTAAATTAGTTTATTACCATGGCTTTAAACCTAGGAGATGTAGGACATAGTCATTCTCATTCCTAGGATAAAGCTTCACATCCTGAACCTGACTGATAGTTTGCGGCACTGAGATGTGGCTTCGTCAGAACCCCCGACATAGGCAGAAGCTGCTGTGATTGTTTTGTTTTCCTGCTGGTTGCTCTGCTAGGGCCATACCTCCAACCTCTCTTACCTCACTGCTCATCTCTGCAATCAATACTAACCCAAAGACATCACAGTCTTATGGATATGATATGAGATATGATCTTACAAATCCTGTTACTTGTGTATTTTTAAAAGCATCTAACTCAGTAGAACAAAATGCAAAGACCACCCTCCCGCAAAGTGTCTGCTGTATCCATGTAATATTTGAATTATACCACATTGTATAGCAAACACTTTGGAAGTAGCTTTGTTGAGGATTCTTCTAACTGTGGATGTCCCCAAGGGCTCTTACCTGGGCTCTCCATACTATTTTGCTTGCTAATCTCATCAGCTCCCATGTATCCAATTGTTGTTTCTATGCTGATGAATCTCACATTTGTTCTGCCCTGACCCCTCTCCTGAACTCCCATCTCACATCTCCAATTGATTATGAGACATCTTAAAGTGGATATCTCATAGACATCTTGAACTCATTATCTTTCCTTACAGATCCTGTCCCATTCATAACTTCCCTTTCACTGTCAATAAATGAATTAGTCAAGTTATTAAGGCCTGTTAAGTGCCAGGCATTGTACTTAGTGCTGGGGAGACAAAGAAAGGAAAAAGACAATCCCTCTTCTCAAGGAGCCCATCATCTAATGGAGCACTGTCTGATGCAAATAAGTATGAACCAACAAGCTAGCTACAGGATAAATTAAGAGATAATCAACAGAGGCAAGACAATGAATTAAGGGGGATCAGGAAAGACTTTCTGTAGAACGGGATTTTAGTTGGAACTTGAAGAAAGCCAGGGAAGGCAGGAGGCAGAGATGAAGAAGGAAACCATTCCAGGTGTGGGGGAGAGCCAGTGAAAACGCCCAGAGCTGGGTGATGGAGTGTTTTGTGTGAGGAACAGCAAGGAAGTCAGTGTCTTGAATCGAAGAGTATGTGGTGGTGCTAGTTCTGTTGCTGATATATAAAGTATAAGAAGACTGGAAGCTAGGAGGTAGGGTGAAGGAGTCCAGATCATGAAGGCCTTTGCATACCCAATGGAGAATTATTTATTTGATCCTGCAGGTGATAGGGAGCCACTGGAGTTTATTCAGTAGGAGAATGACATAGTCAGATCTGTACTTTAAGAAAGATCACTTTGACATCTGAGTAGAGGAAGGGCTAGAGTAGAGAAACATTTGTGGCAGAGAGACCAGGCTATTGCAATAGTCTAAGCATGAGGTGGTGAAGACCTACACCTGGGTGGGGGCAGTATGAGAAGAGACAAGGGGATATATATGAAGGATATAAGGAAGGTAAAATTGACAGGCCTTGGCAACAGATTGTATCGGATATGGGGGGTAGGGGTGGTGAGAGAGTGCAGAGTCTAGAATGACACTTAAGGCTGTGAGCATGGGTGACTGGGAATATGGTGGTACCTTCAATAAGAATAGGGAAGGTAGGAAGAAGGTAGGGTCTGGAGGAGGAGAGAAGAAATAGTGAGTTCATTTTGCAATATGTTGAATTCAAGCCAGTTCAAAAATATCCAATAGGCAGTTGGAGATGTAGGACTAGGGGTCAAGAAAGAGGATAGGGCTGAACAAGTAGATATGAAATTGATTTAATTATAAATATATTAATGTATTAATTAAAATATGTATTAACAATTTTAATACATGGTTGTTGAATTGAAATAGTTGAATTTATAGAAAGAAACAGATAAGAATGACAAAGGATGAGAAGACATGGAGTAGCTATGATTTGTATTAGGGCAAAGAATGTCTATACTGTCTTTTCTTATGCTATTCCCTATTCATGTATCTATTAATCTAGAAGAGTAACCTGGGGCTCAAAATTGCTATTGTAGCCAGATAAGACTTTACACTACCTATTTGTGGGGGCAGTTCCCTGAACAAACCTATCAACTCTCACTATAATTGGTACTGACTCAGTTCATTATTATTTCTCCCCAGGTTTATAAGCATTCTAGTAGGTATGGATATATCAGAGATTACTAACTTTGCACAAATTATCTCTCTGGCTCATTCTCTACCTCAGCTTGAGTTGAAGAAAATCTCTCCTTTTTGGTTAATTTTCCCTCTCTCAAAGTTTGCACTTTTAGGCTTGGAAACAAATTATCATAAATGCTCATACACTTTAATAGCAACTTCAAGTACTATAGAAATTCAAATAAGTATCTTAAGGAACAGACTTCTGCAGCAGGTTGTGATTGGGGGGGTTAGGGAGTAGGTAGAGGGGTTCCCAGTCAATGATCCAAGAATGCATGGAAAAGGTAGACTGCATTCTGGTAGTCTTTTTTTTCCTATGTGTAATCTTGGCTGGTAGGCCTTTTCTTGGGATTCCATTTTGGCTTCCCAAGACTTTAATTTTCTATAAAAACTCCTTGTCTTTCACTCGACTTTTAAGGTTTCATCAGATCATATAAAGAAATATTGTCCACTAACATGACACTTACAGCAAGCTCAGCCTAAGTGATTCATTCATTGATGAGCAATAAAAGCTAATAATTTTCATGTCTGTTTTCTTTGTCTATTTACCTTTCTAGATAACATACCTCACCCATGCCTGCATGGATCTCAAATTAGGAGATAAGAAAATGATATTTGACCCTTGGTTAACTGGTCCTGCCTTTGCTAGAGGATGGTGGCTGCTTCACGAGCCTCCTTCGGATTGGCTAGAGAGGCTGTGCCAAGCAGATCTCATTTACATCAGTCACATGCATTCTGATCACTTGAGGTAATCCCGGAAGCCAGTAAAAGAGTTAATCTGTCCTTTGGACTTTGAGAATCAGTCAAACCTTAAACATATTTTCAGTTACTTATGTAGCTGCTGCACACTCTCAATGGGATTCATCTTGGATGAAATTGTAGGCCACAATAATGATATCCTATAGGTGTATGATACCATTATGCTTTTTGACAATAATTTTACATGTATTTTTCTCTCTGTGAGAGAGGGTAGAGAAGAAGGAAAGGTGAGGCATGTCTGGAGCAGATGAAAGCGTTCTATCTCTTGACTCAGAGGAACTCCGATCAAATCTAACCACTGACATTTACTACTTGTGTGTCCTTGGGTACATCATTTAATTTCTCTGGGTCTGTGAAGATAATTTTGATACCCCTACTCAATTTAGTCAGTATTTACTCAGATCATTGTGATTTAATGCATATCAGTGATTGTATTGATAATTATATTATTTGTTATTGATTTATAGGGTATAGATTTATACTGTATCAGGTCTGTTATAAGGATTATATTAGCTTGTGTTTCTGTGTTAGTACCTCTTTTATGAGAGAAAAAATTTTCCCTTCTCCCTTTTCCTTCTCCCAGTGCATCCCTCTTTCTCACCCCTTCATTTTTTTTTTTAGAAATCATTCCAATGGACTCACATCCATGCTTTTTGTCTATATAAACTCATTTTAACTGTCCTAATATTGATAAAGTTCTTAGGAGTTAAAATCTAGAAGGATGCTGATAGGCTAGAGTAGTGTATTAAATTGGGCAAAATGAAATTTAATTTGGATAAATACAAAACTTTATACTTGGCTTCAAAAACTCATCTTCATGAGTATAGAAAGGTGTGAGAGTAACTAAAAAACTCTCATGGGAAAAAGGGTATCTGGGGCATCTGGTTTCTCTTCATCTCTCCTTCTCATTGTCATATTTGCATTTCAGTAGCTTTTGTACTATGCCATTGCGCAGAATAGAAAGGTTCTTTTGCTAAGAAATAGATGCAAAATTATCCACTTTCTTCACTGGATTTGTATGAAAACTGTGAATAAGGTAAACTCAAAGAGGAGGACCTGAAAAAGGATGGGACTGGACTTATAAAGAATATTTGGTGTCATGATCTATATATTTGTCAAAGGCTAAACTCCTTTGTAGCACACCCTGGTAAGAAGGATATCCCACAATTTTAGGAAGTAAGGTACAGACATAAAGAGACTTGTTGAAGAAATTGACCCTGCCATTTTTTTTTTTGGTGTGCATTGTATTAAAAAGGTCATTTATAAACTGTTGCTTTAAACTTTAAAAAAAAATCTAGTGACTTTGGTGAACCTACAAGTTATTTTATGAGGCAACAGTGTGACATGGTAATAAAAATATTTATCTATCTTAGGTTGCATTAAGAATCATAGTGTCCAAATCAAGGAAGGTAATAATTGCACTGTGTTCTGTCTTGGTCTGGAACACTATGTTCCCTTCTGGGCACCATATTTTAGGAAGGACATCCTGAGTATCTAGAAGAGGGAGACCAGAAAGGTGACAGGGGTGGAGAAGGTACATGTGGAGATCAGCTGAAGGAACTGGGAATGTTTAACCTGGAGAATGGAAGACTGAGGGGGGACATGATAGATATTGGTAAGTCTAAGAAGAGTTGTCATGTGGGAGAGATAGGACTTATTCTAATTGACCTCAACAGGCAGGACTAGTAACAAAAAGTGGAAGCTGCAAAGTCTCTGATCTAGGCTCTTAGAGCTGTTTAACAATGCAACAGACTCACTTGGGAGGCATTAGGTCCCTCTTTGCTGGACATTTTCAAGGAAGACTGGGAATGGTACTGGAGATGTAATTCTTGATCAGGTTATGCATATTCAACTAGATGGCCTGTGAAATCAGGTCTTAACCTTAGATTCGATGATTCCATGGATTTTGTGACCACATCAATTTACAAAACCACCTCTTATGTGATTGCTATCTGTATTGGGGAAAGAAGTACTCATCTTGATGAAATTAGATATTTTGGAAGGAAGGATTTTTTAAGTACTGACTGTGTGCCAGGCATTGTGCTAAGTGCTTTACAAATATTATCTCATTTAATCCTTACAATAACCCTGGGAGGTAGGTGCTATTATTTTCATCTCTGTTTTATAACTGAGGAAAGTGAGATAGACAGAGGGTAAGTGACTTGCTCAGGGTCACACAGCTAATAAGTATCTTAGGCTGGATTTGAGCTTAGGTCTTCTAGGATTCTATTAACTGTGTCAGATAGCAACCAATTTTAAAGCATTTTTACCAGTTTTGAAGAAAATTACAGACAAGTTAGAACTCTGACATACCTATTTTGATCTTGTTGGCTCCTACTTGATCAAGATGGATTTTTGTTCTGAAAAGTCTTTGCTTTGAGAAAAGTTTGAAAAAAAAATCCAGACATGCTGGATTACGTGAGACAGTAGTATCCAAAGTCCACCTGCTTCTCACACTGTCCTGTTTTGTTGTAACTATGCCCTATAGAAACCCACAATAGAATTATGGAATAACTGGTTTCATAATTTGCATGCAATATAATAATAAAATATTGCAGCAAAGTTTAACAGGCTTATATAGGGATAAAGATATGATAACATGGTGGGGGAAGGCAGGAAGAAAGAAAATTGTTTTATCACACAGTTGCCCTGGGAAAGCACCAAAAGTGGTAAAGAGTGACCTGGACAGAAATAGATGGGAACACATCTAGAGTTTAACATCAGTTCCTTGCCTGGTCTCCAACAACAACAACAACAACAACAACAACAACAACAAAAACCAGAGCCCATTTGTAAGTGGGATCATATCCTTATTTTTAGTGGTATCACTATGGGATCATAGCTTTTGTATGTAGATTAGATCTGCCTTAGTCCAAACTAACAGGAGGAAGCTGTTGATTTTGTAAAACATAACAACCCCCTACCCCCCAAAATGAAGCAAAAAACAATAGGAAAAAAGCCAAAACTCTATATTTAAGAAATGAAAATTTAACATTTGAAGGTTAATTTTGTTGGGCATTGAATCTGTAAATGAATTTCACTGATGTTGATATTCATTGTGGTTAGTTTTATTTTGGTTCCTCCTGGGGACTGAATCAAAAATCTGTGTTATAGAAAACTTTCAGAGAAATAAAATGTTAAGTATTATGTATTAAGTATAAATATTAGTAGATGGAAGAAGATTTGGAGGTAGGGCAAGGATACCTGGAACTCTGATTTTGTTCATGTGTGGAACTCTCTAGTAGGAAAACACCTTTCACAGGTGCAGATCAACAGATCCTTTGGGACATCTCCTTTTAGCAGTTTAACAGGCCTCTGAGTGACTTGCCCACAGTCACACATCTTATATGTGTCAGAGGCAAAATTTGAACCAGGTTTTCTTGACTTCAAGGATGGGACTTTATGCCTAGGCTATACTATCTAACATTAAATAAGGTAGACATGGGCACTAATAAATAACATTGGTTAAATTAGTGAAAAAGAAATTATAATTCAGAATAGATTTCAATCCACATAACTTAATGAAAATCTCAGTCAGTTGAGTTGAAGAATATTTGTTGAGCACCTCTGATATGGAAGGCACTGTTCTGGTCACACCATCAAAATATTTTAATATATAAGAATTAATTCATGGCATCAAAAATTAAAGGACTATTTTAAAAACCTTATTCTCTTGAGGCCTGGGTTTGAAAGAGTGACTGATTTTACCTCATTGCCTTTATTTGATGCTAAAATTTTGCAGAGAAAGAAATCTTTTATGGCCACACATTGGACAACCAATAAGTATTTTCAGACTGAAAGACCTGTATCTGAAATGTCACAAATTCTGATTTGGTGAAGTTAAAATGAAGTTCCTATGATCATAGATTTAGAGCTTAAAGAGACTTTGGGAGTCATCTAGTCTAACCCCCTCTTTCTACAGATGAAGAGGCTGAGGGCCAGAGAGGCGAAATAAATTGCTCAGGTTCTATGATCTCAAGCTCACCCTTCTTGCCATTGCTCCACGTTGACATCCCAGGTTTGACTATGTTGTCTGGCTAATAATATTATCTTTACAATACGGCCAAAAAACAAATACAGATCTTTTAAAAGAAGTCTCTTCCAAAGTGAGGCTATCTTATGTGTCTTTCACATCTTAATCCATAGATGAAAATTTCCTCAGTCTTTTGTCCCAGCAGGCCTCTACTGCAAAGGAAAGAAGTTGAAACTGGGGTGATCTCCATTAGTAGTATTGGGATAAGGGCTAGTTTATATTGCCTATGAATGTATAAACCATGTTGACTCATGAATCCCAAGATAGATGATTTCTAAGAGCAGCATCTTCTTCCTGAAAACCTTTCTTGCTATTCCATTCATCTTATGTTTAGATATGAATTTTTTTTTCTGAAAAATGGAAAAAGAATCAGTTTTTACATGCCTATCCTCTGTAATAATGTATAGAAAGGAATGTTTTCTTTCTTGTGATAGATATTTCTGTGTTTCATCCTTTGCTCTTCTCTTCCTGAACCTAGCTATCCTACTCTGAAGAGGCTTGCTGACAGAAGACCAAACATTCCTATTTATGTTGGAAACACAGAAAGGCCTGTGTTTTGGAATCTGAAGCAGAGTGGTGTGGCATTGACCAACATTCATGTGGTACCATTTGGAACTTGGCAGAAGGTCAGACATTTTAGTCTTTTATACACTAAGATGCTTTTCAGAGAGGTTTCCATGAGGCAGTGATTTTAGAATAAACTGAATTAAAAATATAATTACAAATCTTCACCTGCTTCATGTTGTGTAGAAACAATCTCAACGTGAGTTTTAGTGTTGGGTAGAACCATATTAAATTAAGTCTCATCAAAGATGAGTTTCCTTTTTCCAAATCTGGACAATGAAAATTTATTCAAATTTTAGGGGACTTATTGACTCATCTTTCCTCAACTGCCAGCTCCTTGGATTATATCTCCTCCCTTTCACTCTTAATCATTGTGAGATTTCTTTTGTTTGCAGTTACTTTTTTCACCTCCCCACTTTCTATTTATTTCTCAACCACTCATAATCTGGCTTTTTTGTTCAGACAAATTTACAAGAATTTCTCTCTTAAATAGAATTAAATCATAATCATCCTATCAAATGGAATTTTCTCAATTATCCTCCTTAATTTCTCTGTAACATTGCATATAACATTGCTCATTCTTTAATCACTCAGTTAACACACATTTATTAAGCCCTTACTATACATTAGGTACTATGTTAAGCCCTGAATATATAAAGAAAAAGCAATAGTAGTCCTTGTCTTCAAGGAGTTTATATTCTAAAAGGCATACAATCTGCATAAATAAAAACATGCAAGATAAAAAAATTGATGGAAGGTGTCCTTAGAGAGGATGGTATCTTTAACTGGGGAAATAGGGAGGAAGAGAGAGACCAAAAAAGAAGATGGCGCTTGGGTTGAATCTTAAAGAAAATCACAGAATCTAAGAGTTAAAAGTTGGTAGGAATAGCATTTCCAGGCATTGGAAACAGTTAGTGCAAAGGCACAGAGATGAAGCGTCATGTTCAAGGAAAAGTAGACTGGTATGTCTAGATCATAGACTATAGAAAGGGAAATAGAATGTAAGAATATTAGAAAGGTAAGAAAGGGTCAATTCATGAAGAGCCTTAAATACCAAAGAGAAGACTTTATATTTGATCCAGGAGTTAGTAGGAAGCCACTGGAATTTAGTGAGGGGGCAGGGTAAGAGTTAATAATGACATTGTCACATTGTCACACCTACACATAAGGAAAATCAATTTGGTAGTTGAGTGGAGAATGCATTAGAATAAGGGTGATAGTTGAGGCAAGGAGAGCAAATTTAAAGGTTATTGAGATAATCCAGGTGAGAAATGATGAGAGCCTGAACTAGAATAGTGGCTGTGTTAGTTCAGAGAAAAGGGATGTATATGAGAGATGTTATAGAGAAAAAAGTTATAAAATTTTGGCAATTGATTGGATATGGGAGGATAAGCAAGAGAAAGAAGTTGAGAATAATACCTAGGCTTTGAATCTGGATTACTGGAAGGATGTTGGTGCCCTAAGGAAAATAGGAAAGTTCCAAAGAAAGAATGGTTTGAAGGGAAAGAAAGTGAATTCTGTTCTGGATATGTTGAGTTTGTGATGCCTACAAGTGTCCAAAAAGCAGTTGGTTCTGTGGGATTGAAGTTTAGGAGAGAGGTTATAGCTGTTCATAAAATCTGAGAACAATTTTCATAGAGATAATAATTGAACCCAGGGCAGCTGATGATATTACCAAATGAGAAAATATTGTAATAAGAGAGAGGAGGGCTTTGAGGACAAAGACTTAAGGAACACCAATACTTACTAGGTGTAATATAGATGAAGATCCAGCAAAAGAGACCAGGAAGGAGCAGTCCGGTAAGAAGAGAACAAAGGAGTAGTGTGACAAAAATCTAGAGAGGAGAGATTATCCAGGAGGAAGTAGATGTCAGCAGTGTCAAAGGCTGTGGAGAAGTCAGTAAGAATGAAAACCAAAAAGTGGCCATTAGGTTTGGAAATTAAGAGATCATTGGGAACTTCAGAGAGAGCAGTTTCAGTTAAATGGTAAGATTGGAAACCAGACCACATATTGTTTAGAAGAGAGTGAAAGAAAATGGAGGTACTGATTTTAGATAGCTTTTTCAAATTTATCTGAGGTCAGAAGAAATATTAGATGATTGCTGGCTGACATAGTAGGATCTAGTGTTTTGTTGTTGTTGTTGTTTTTTTAAGGAAGGGGCAATATCAACATATTTGTGGGGAGAAGAGAAATTGCAAGTAGATAGAGCTGAAAAATTGTGAGAGAGTGGAAATAATGGTGGAGGCAATCTGCTGGAGAAAACATGAGGGATGATAGAATTGCGGAAATTGTGTGAACCAAACTGACTCCGTCTTATAAAAGTGATTCCATTTTGAGACCTAAGTTTCATTTTCCTGTAAATTCTATCTTCTTGGTAATCATGGGAATTGAGTGACATACTATTTCACATTCAGAAAAGTCTACTGTTTCCCCTTCTCCCAACTCTGGAAACTCACTCATGTCTCTCCCAACTTGGAAAGCCCCTAATCTTTCCTCCAATTAGAATTCAGATTACTTAATCTTGCATTCTGATTTATAGTCTGTTAATTGTTTCCTTTTAATGCAATAAAAATTTATCTTCCCCCTGTTTTCTGGATCCAGTGCCAAGCTAAGAAGGCCTAGTCCCAATCTGTTATCTAATTGGCATGCACTGATAAAAAAAAAATCAATATTCTCAGAAACATGAACATTTGTTTCCTTAGTTATTTCAGATTTCACCCATCACAGGGGGTGGTATCAAGGACACATGTAGAGGGACTGGCCTTGGCAAGTAGAAGACCTCACTCCCTCCACATTAGAGAATGGAATGAAGGATGAAATAATGCAGATACGGGGTGAGGAGGAGGAATGAAGAGCAAACTTTTAATGAATTTTTAGAAGCATGAGGTAAACTCCTTAGCAGAGAGGGTAGGGAGAGAAGTATAGTGGGAGTTTCAAGGAAAAGAGGAAAGTTTTGGAGAAGCTGCTGTGATCAATAAGAACAGAAATACATTAGGGAAGAGTAGTAGAATTGCCTTGCTGTTATGAGGGCCTGGTCAAAATTAGCTAGCATAAAATTATAGTGGATTCAGTCAGCATGGTTTCATGATTTCTTTCTGGCAAACTGATTGAGGACTAGGAAAATAGGGTGTTTGAGGAAACATCAACATGTGTGTTGAAACCTACTGGAATGAGGGAAGGATTTGAGGTAGAAAGACTAAGCAAGGACTGAACTCAGTGAAGAAAGAAGAGGAATGTCCTGAAGGTGAGTAGATAATAGCTAACAGAATCTGGTTTAGGTGATAGATATGGATTGATTGACCCTTAATGGAAGAGAGGTTACTGAGTGATAGTAGTAGAAGGAAAATCTGGAAGTGTCATTGGGAAGCAAGGAATATTCCAATTCCCCCATCAGAATCATTGAGTTCAAGGGAATAAGCAAAAGTACAACCAATATCAGAAAGGGTGGTTGGGAATGCAGTTCCACAAGGGAGACAATAGACGGGAGGAGTGGAAAGAGGCTTAAGATGAAAGTAATGGAACAGACTTTCCAGAAGGCACAGTGGATGAAGGAGTCATACCTGGAGGACATTGAAGAGTAGGGTTGATGAAGATGGGAATGAGGAAGCAATTAGTTGAAGTTGGTAGATTGTTCTTTGGCAACTGTTTTGTGTTACATGGATAGGGAGAATAGGAAGGGATAAGAATGTATTAACCATTGGGAAATGAATCTAGATAGAGTAACAGCAAAGTCTGCTGATGAAGGCTGGGGATTATAAGATTCACAGACAAGCTGTGTCAGTACAGCTCAAACCATTGTGTTGTTGTGAATTGGGGAAAGCCTGTCAGGGTTGTGGCCCTCACTGCATTGTACTTGGGCTAGTTTGGAAACCTAGGGAAAAGACAGGAGGTAATTAATCCTTCAGTGGCTTGCCAAACTCAACTTTGCCAGTTAGAAGGGTCTGCTTGCTGTTATACTCTTGAGCCTGCTCAGAAGCCTAGCTAGGAGGCAGGAGGGGTTAACCTTCATAATTTTTCCTTCCTTGATTTTCATGACACAGATTGATTCTCCTCCAATGTATCTAACCATTTCTTTTCTAACTCTTTCCCCAAATGTAGATGTTCTCCAACAATTTATCTTCAGTCCCTTTCTCTCCTCTCTCTCACTTGTTGATTTTATTCACTATCAAGGCATTAACTACCTGTATGTTAGTAACTTCCAAATTCTGATCTCTAACCCCTCTCCCAGAATTCTAGTCATAAGATCATAAATCTAGAACTGGAAAGGACCTTAGAAGCCAAGTAGTACAATTGCCTCATTTTATCTATAGAAAACTGAGTCTCAGAAAGATTAAGTGATAACTTGCCCAAAGTCACATATGTAGTAAGTGGCAGAGATGGGATTTGAACAGAGGTCTTCTCGCCTAAACCTGCTTCTTTTCTTGACTTCTCTCTTCCTATTAATGGCACCACCAATTCTTATAATCACTTATCCTCAAACCATAGGGTCATCTTTGACTCCTCTTTTCCCCACATTCAATAAGCAGTCAAGTCCTACAGATCCTACCTCCAGAATGTCTTCCCATTATTTCTACTTCCACCCTAATTTAGGTCCTCAAAATCTCTCTTCTGGATTATTATGATTGCCTCCTGGTGAACTCTTCCATTCCCAGTGTCTTTCAACTCTGGTCCATCCTCTATAGCATTGCTAGAGTAACCTTCCTACATGTACCTCTGATCACATTATGTCCCTGCTCAGAAATTCCCAGCAGCTCCCCATTGCCTACAGATAACAGCCCCAAATTCCTTAGTCCATCATTTGAGAATTTACCCAACTATACCCCAGTCTACCTTATCTTCCCCTAGTTCACTACTCTCCTTCAGATACCTTTGTTTAGGCCATTTCCTCTGCTGGGATTGCTCTCTTACCCTATCTTTTTCTGTTGAAAATTTTACTCAAATACTTCTTCCTCTTTCATGAAAACTCCCCTGATATCCAGGGCTGATGTACTCTCTCTTTCTCTCTCCTGGATTTCCATAGTGCTTCTGTTACATACTTATCATACTCAACTTTGTATTTTATTTTAGTACATTTAATCCTTCCTACCAGGTTGCAGGGTCCTCAAGGGCAAGGACTTCATTTTTTTTTCACTCCCCTCAGGTTACCTGGCAAACAGTAGTAGGTACCTGATAAACAACTGTTGAATAAATGTTGAAAAGCCAAGCTGACACTCATAGATACTGTTGTTATTGTTTGATTCCAGGTAGATCGGAATCTTCGATTCATGATCTTGATGGACGGTGTTCACCCTGAAATGGATACTTGCATCATTGTGGAGTATAAAGGTATGGTATCCTTAAATGCTTTTCAAGCATGAGATATATTGTCTATAGAAAGTATCACAGGAACTTCATATAGATTTTAATCAAATGCAACCTTCCTCTGTTCTTTATTTTCCTAATTTTTATTGGGTGTAAGACATTGCAACCTTCCTCTATTTTTTTTCCTATATATGTATACAGTGGTGTACATTCTAATCTTAGCCCAAAGACTCCTTTGTTATAGTGGGCAGATATTCTGTGCAATAAAATCCTGATAATTGGATTTACTCCGCTGCTTAAGGTGTTAACTGTGCCTAGCTCTTTTATGTTTTGTATCAAACCTTTGGCATTTTGCCTTGTATGCTAAAATCAGTGACTAGCCCTTTTGTTTGACACTGTAAGTTTACTTCTATTTTTTGATATTTTTGAAAGGAAGAAAAAAGTATAACAGTATCATTTATATGTGGAAACTGAGGCAGAAAGATGGAATGATTTATTAAATCATACACATAGTAATGTGAATTCAAATGTGAGTAGGTTCAAATCCTTATCCAGGATTTGAAAATAGGCCTATTCTGACTTCAAGTCAGGGACTTTCCACTGTACCATATTGCCTCTTATTCTTATTGTTGTTACATAATTTTAAAACTCATATACAAACATTTATCAAGTACCTTCTATGTGCATAGCTCCGTTCTAGGTGTTAGAAAAAACAGAGATGAAAAAAATTATATAGTCCCTGCCCTCAAGGAGCTTACAATCCATCGGAGAGAAAGAAAAACAAGGATTTAATGAGGTAGACATGAAGATGACAGAGAAGATGGTTTGTGTCAATGCATGGAGGCAGAAGAGGACAAGATGAGATCATGGAGCTAGTAATAGCCCAGTTTCACTGGAACATAGATGATATGGAAGGACTGATTGGAAATAAAGCTGGAATGGTAAAGTAAGGAGGGATGAAGTGACTGAAGGCTGCAGTGGTGATGGAGGAGATGGTACCCCCTGAAAGAGAAGTGGACAGGGAGCTAAAGGCACATAAAAGAACCGCACGCTTCTGGATGATAGAAGTAGAATGATTGTGGGTGATAATGAGATCAAGAATATGACTATCTTTTGGCTGGATTGAGGTGAAGTAAAGACATTGGTGATGGGAGTTCAACAACTGATGAGCTGGGAAGCCAAGGCGTTTGAGGGATCATCCATGTTTATATAGAGGTGCCTAAACTCAAGGGCTAGGATTAAGATGGATAAGAAGACTAAGGTTCAAGTACTGAACCCTTGAGAAAGGAAGGAGAATGGTCTAGGGACAGAGAAGCTACCAGGATCACAATACACAAATTCCTCAGTCTGGCCTTTAAGGTTATTTGTAATCTGGCTCCAATGTACCTTTCCATTCTTAATTCACATTACTCTCATTCAAATACTGTGTCTTCCAGCAAGGTTGAATTACTAGTTGTTCCCTAAACTCCACATTCCATCTCTCCCTTCCACGCGTTTGCACAAACTATACCCCACGCAAAAATGGGAAGTAATCCCTTCTCATCTCTGCTGCTCAGAATCCTTATTCTCTGTTAAGGCTCAGCTCATCTGCCACCACATCCAGGAAACCCTCTTTGATACCTCTCTCTCTCTCTCCTTAGAGGACCTTGGGCGTCATAGCCCCGCAAGAGGAATGAAAGCTCTTAGTGGGTAGGGAGGAGTATTGTTGTCTTTGTTATTTTTTCCTCCTCTCCACACCTAGCATAATGCCCAGCACAAAGTAGACTCCTGATAAATGTTTGTTGAAATAACTATATTACATTAAGAATTACATGAAGGATTCAACCTTGAGAATCTTGCCCCTTCTGTTTTTGCCTAGGTCATAAAATCCTCAACACAGTGGACTGTACCCGACCTAATGGGGGGAGACTTCCTGAGAAGGTTGATCTGATGATGAGTGATTTTGCTGGAGGAGCATCCGGCTTTCCAATGACATTCAGCGGTGGAAAGTTTACTGGTAACTTACATTGTTAAGAAGTAGACACACGTACTTGCAAAAGGAACCTTTTGAGTGTATGTGTATATGGGATAGGAAAGGCCCAAACTTGGTTGGTCAACTTTGAATCAAGGCTGTTCACGCGCTGATGATGTCCTCCTCCTTGGTGAAATGTGACCTCTCATCACTACAGGATCACAGATTTAGAGCTGGAACCCAGATCTAGAACCTTAGGGACTAACCGGTCTAACCTCTTCATTGTACCGATGAATAAATTGACCCCCCCAAAGAGGTTAAAGGTCATACAGGTAGTAAGTGCCAGAGTCAGGATTTGAATTAAGGTCATCTGACTCCAGTGCTCTTTCCACTGTGCCACCATATGGTAAGAAAAAGAGAAATATAACATCAGTTCACAGCTGGTTTCAGGGGACACACATGTGTCATTCTCTCCACCCCCAATCCCCCCAAAGATAGCTATAGCTCAAAAGCAGAAGCACAAACCTTCCAACTAAAGCTGTTACAAATTTCTCCCTATTCCTTCCTCAGATGTACCCCCCTACACCCTAAAAAAACTGTTAAGGTCAGTTACCAAAGTAAAAGTTTCCTCTAAAACTCATAATTAGAAAGCATGGAACTCTTCTTCTCCTCTACCACCATACACACATGCACCTAGTAATCTATACCTAAAGATGTTCCAACTGTGAGTGGTTTGGCTCTCTTTTCTATAGCTTAGAAGTCAAAGCAAAGATTCCTCAGACCTTTCCTTAGATTCTATTCCTTTATTTCATTAAGTCATCCATCTATCCATTAATATATACCTACCATGTGCATCAACGGCACTGGGGGGTAGGGTATATACATATATATGTATATATATATATATATCATTCATATATCTATATATCTATATATATATGCCACCAAGAAGTTTCTTCTACTTTACTTATGAAATCAGAATTCAAGAGTTATAGTGTTCATCAGAATTAAGCATGCCATGCAGAAGTCTAGGACAGCACTGAATTAACAGTGAAAATCAGAGTCTGTATAGGACTCTGCCATCTGAGAATACACGCTCACCCAAAGACACCTGGGATTTCAATTCAATTAGATATTTATTTGTTTATTAATCATCCACTATAAACAATTTGAGAGGCAACATAACATAGTTGATAGGAAGCTGACTCGGTATCTAGGAAGACTGACGTTCAAGGTCTGCCTTGAACACCTACTATTTCACTGCATAATCGTTTTTTTTCCAGTCCAAAAACTGGTTCATAATCTTTCATCATGTAATCGTCGCGTGGTATAATTCTGTTCGTCATGCTGCTTAAAAGGTAAACAGAGCAACAATGTATTCACCAGTGGTGTATGGAGACACACTTATTTCTAGTGCATTGCAAGTCTGGAGCCTAGAATTCTCAGCACATGCACATTGTCTATGTGTAAACAAAACAACTAAAGCCCAGTTGCACTGTTATTATTATATTATATATTATATTATTATATTAAGCACCCTTCCTTGGAATCAATATGCACATGGGTAATTAAGAGTTGCAATGACAAAATAAACACATCTGATATGAGTGGTGCTGAAGACAGTGTCAGATAACGAAACCAATGATAGCAGCACAGAATCTTCAGACGCAGAAGATTACATTTTTTAAGTCCGTACTTCACAACACTGTGGTAAATTTTCTCAAGTGTAATATTTTGACTATAATGCACAAATCAATAACAACTGTGTTAACTTTATTTTTCAGACTGGAAAAATGTTCGCTAAACTGTCACAAAGAAAGCGTTGATTTGTGCTATTCGTTATTAACATATACCCACGAGTATTCTGTGCACCCTAATCTTGCACCAAAGACAGTTTAGTAATAAATGATTTTTAAGTAATACCAGCACAGGTGTTTTTTTAAAACTTCACATAATAGTCACTTCTGCCATTCATCTATTTTTACCTTCTGAAATGATTTAAAACTGCAATCAGCTATTAGAATTATGATTCTTACAGTAAAGAATTATCAAAACTCTTGTCATTTCAGAGGAGTGGAAGGCCCAGTTCATTAAAACGGAGAGGAAGAAACTCCTGAACTATAAGGCCCAGCTGGTGAAGGACCTACAACCCAGAATTTATTGCCCTTTTGCTGGATATTTTGTGGAGTCCCACCCATCAGACAAGTATGGCTCAGCATTGTATTCAACATCATTTCCTATGAAGTTTTATACCAAGGGGTAATGAGTGACTCAAAGTGAAAGAGCATGGTATAGTGGAAAGGGTATTGAAATTGTAGCACAGAAAATCTCATTTCAAATGCTGGCTTTTCCGTTTGCTGTTTCTCAGGCTGTCAGTTTTTTCACCTGTAAAACAAGGGAGTTAGGCTAGATGACCTCTAAGGTCCCTTCCCACTCTGCATTTTTTGACCCTATGGCCCTAAATGCCACAGAAACCATGAAGAACATGATTAATATAAGAAGATTGCTTAAGGAGTGACCTGAAAAAAATACACAGTAACAAAAACTAGCCTTGGCAGCCAGGGAGACTACTGCTAAACTTGCCAACAATTTATTATATCAAGAGAGCTTAGCATGCAGAGCTGCAAAGACTTTAGCCGTCATCTATTCCTCCACTAAAAGCCTCTTTAGATTCTTCAAAAATGAGAAAAATAACTCAGGGGAGTGATCCAGGAAATGCCCAGTCTAGTGTGGAAAGATCATTAGATCTAGAATCAAACAAACTGGTTTTGATTTTAATTCTGTTCCTTCTTATTTGTGTGAAAGTCACAAATTTTTGAAGTGGCTTTCTAAGAGAGGAAATGTTTTCTTGGGTGTGGTGTTATTGAATGTGTTATGTGGAACATGTATGATGCTGCTTGCATCCCTTTAAGCTCTCAGTCAGAAAGAGGTAAAATAAAAATCCTCCCAGACCATGCCTGATAGCTCCAATTAGCTCATTCTTCTAAGGGACCCCCAAGTTCAAATTTTATTTTCTGCTAAAGAAAGTTGCAGGATCACTTCTAAAACTAAACTGTAGCTCAACAGACCCAAGGAACATCTTTTAGCCATAACTGCAGAGTCTCAGCATAGTCTATGAAGTATAAAACTCCTCAAGGTCATTTCTCCCCTCTTCCCATACACTCACACACCCCCACTCTGATCTCAAGTAAGGACATGCCCATAGACAAAGGGGACAAATTCATTTTTGGGCTCACAAACTATTTTCAACAATACAGGATAAAAAATAGGCTAGATTTTTAACAAAAAAAATTTTTTAGCTTCATCTAAATGGTTAGGAGAGAGGAAAGAAAAGATATGGACAAAGTGGGAAGAGTACACAATTGCTCAGGCTTTTATTCCAGTCCCTTCTGCCTGCCATGAGTGATGACACTGGCAATCCCAGAGGGAGCCCAGTTATTCTAAACATCTCCCTCCCCAAGTTGAACAGTCTTGTCAACCATGGCTTCCAACTCTCTTCTCTCCTCCTAAATCTGTCTTCCACTCAAGTTCCTTGTGCTAATAGCACAAAGCTGTTTCCTCTCTTTTGTGAGTCCAGTGTGACTGCTCTGTGCAGAAGGGGTACACCTGTCTGATCTCCAGCCGTAGGGGAGAAGAGAAGCAAGGCCTTTCTCTGACCAGGCCTTCTATCTCTTATTGCACGTGTTCCCCAGGGGAAGGTTGCTAGGGGCATTCTATCTGTGCCAGCACAAAGACAACACGCTGTTGCCAGTCAGATCTCCCTCCCTCTATGTGGAGAGCTTCCGGTTTGATGAGGAGCAGACTCCCTGTTGCCCTCAGACCTTCTATCTCCTGCCTTGATATCTCTTGTTTGATCTCTGGTCTCCCCTTGGAAAGAGTATCACATTCCCCTCATTGGCAAACATTCTCACACCTGGTCATACACTGCACAACTTAGTGATTCTGAACCCCTCCAAACTCTATACCCTACCCCTCACCACCAAATTCCTTCTTCCCATTCTCCTTGACTCTCCAACGCCAAAGTCCAAACCGAACACCATCCACCCCTTCTCCTGAGCCCTCTGGAATGCCTGTTGCATAGGTAACAAACTTCTTTCCATCTTAAATATTTTCCTCTCCCACTCCTTTAATCTTCTAGCAATCACTGACACCTAGCTCCTCCTGAAGATTCAGACAACTTTACAATATTGGTTGCACTCTTATTCTTCTTAGCTCCCTGATTAAGGAGGGAAAGTTGGAATACTCCTTGCTCCTTGTTACCACTTTCAGGTTCTCCCCCTGCCTCCATTCATTCAGTGAGCTCGCCTCCTTTGAGGTTCATGCAATTTATATCTACCACCTAATCAAAATCCTGGTAGCTGTGGTCTACAGAACTCCAGGTCACCTTCCTTCCATCCTCAATAAATTTAGTACCTGGCTCACAATTTGTCTCTCCTCCCCAATTCCTGTCTTTATATACAAGGACTTCAATATACATATTGACACTCCATCAGACATTGAAACCACTTTGTCTGTTCCTCAACCAATTCACTTCCCATGACCTACTCCTCTCCCTCACCACAACCACACAAACATCAGATGATCTCCCCCTGTCCCCACCTCTCAGCTAAGAACCTTTCCTCTTATATTGTACAGAAAAAAATTGAGGCCATTTACCATGAGTTCCTCTTCCCTCCTCCTCATTTCATATCACTTAGATGCTTTTTGCCATTATCTTCTCCTTCACCCCTGTCTCACATGAAGAGATGGCTTTACTCCTTACTGAGGCCAACCCCTGTACCTGCACAATTAGCTCTATGCCATCCCATCTTCTTGAACAGGTTATCCCCTCTCTCATGCCTACTCTATCACTTATCTTCAATTTCTCCTAGTCTAGTGACTGTTTCCATACTGCCTGCAAACATATTCATGTCTTCCCCATCCTCAAAAAACCTTCACTTGGTCCTTCCATTCTACAGCCTTCCATTCCACCTGTCATTCCATATCTCTTTTGCCCTTTGTAGTTAAACTCCTTGAAAAAGCTGTTTGTAATAGATTTTCTCTCTTCTCACTCCCATCTTTATCCCTTTCATCTGGCTTCCAACCCTGTCATTCTACCAAGACAGCTCTGTTCAAGGTTACCAATGATTTGGATTCCCAAATGCCTTTTCTCAGTTCTCATCCTCCTTCATCTCTTTGTAGCCTTTGACATCGTTGATCATTCTCTTCCCTCTAGGTTTTCAGACTACCACTCTTTCCTGGTTCTCCTCCTACCTATCAGACTATTACGTCTCGGTCTCCTTTGCTGTATCCTAATGCAGGTCACACTCTCTAACCCTGGGGCTTTGTCCAGGGCCTTCTTCTCTTCTATTTCTATATTTCTTCACTCAGTGATCTCATCAGCTTCCATTGATTTAATTACCATCTCTATGCTGATGATTTTCAAATATACCTGTCCTGCCCTAACCTCTAATCTTGCATCTTCAGTTGCCTTTCAGATATCTCAAACTGAATGTCCAGTAGACAACTTAAACTCAATTATGTCCAAAACTGAACTCATTATCTTTTCCATTAAGTCCTTCCTTCCTCCTAACTTTCTTACTACTATAGAGAGGAACACCATCCTCCAAGTCCCTCAGGTTCACAACTTAGGTGTTATTCTCTGCTCCTCACTATCCCTCATCCCTCATATTTAATCTGTTGCCAAGGCCTGTCATCTTTGTGACATTTCTTCAATATACCACCTTCTTTCTTCTAACATTACTACTGGTACAGGTCCTCATCACTTCACACCTGGACCATTGCACTAGTCTGCTGGTGGGTCTGTCTGCCTCAAGTCTCTCTCCACTCCAATCCATCCTCCATTCAGCCACCAAAGTGATTTTCTAAAGCACAGATCCATCTATGTCAACCCCTACCCCCACTCCATATGTAGATTATTCTCTATATATCTTATTTTTACATAGTTGTTTTCATATTGTCTTCTCTATCAGGCTGTGAGCTCCTTGAGAGCAGGGACTGTCTTTTGCCTTTCTCTGTATCTCTAGCACTTAGCACAGGAGGCACTTAATAAATACTTACTGACTAACTTATTCAGTTCAAACTGCTATGGCAGCGTGGTATAATGGAAAAGGCCCTGGATTTATAGTCAGAGGGCTTGGGTCCCATCTTTGCCACTGTCTATAAGATTTTGAGCAAGTTTAGGTACGGGTTAGATTTATAGCCTCTGTGGCCCCTTCCAATTCAAAAATTCTCTGTCCTAGATTCAAATCCTTGCTCTCTTAATCACTAGCCATGTGACTTTGGGACAGTCACTTATCCTCTGTAAGCCTCATTTTCCTCATTGGTAAAGAGGTTGAACTAAATTATTCTTCCTTCTAGGTTTCTTCTAGCTCTCAATATATGATCTTATGACCATGTGATTACAATGGACAATAGAAGTTTAGTACAACCACAATTAATAAAATTATTAGGAGTCTTCCCTGTTTAGAGACATTAGCCCAAGGGTATCTTTCAAAGGAAAAAGATTTTTTGAAAGAAATAAAACAAAACTTTTTTTCTGTGATAATACTAATCTACCAGTGTAAGTCAGTACATTAGTTCCTTCACTGAGAGAGTGTGTTACTCATTCACAGGTACATTAAGGAAACAAATACCAAAAATGACCCAAATGAACTCAACAACCTCATTAAAAAAATCTCTAATGTTTCTACATGGACCCCTCAGCCTGGTGCTGTACTAGACCTGGGGAGAATGCTGAAGGATCCTACAGACAGGTAAGATTTAAAGTACTAACAGAGTGGGGAAAAACCCATTATTGATACTAGCATTGAGTCATAGCTCATCTACTACGACAATCGCAGATCAGTAACAATCACTTTCTCAGTGGCTCTCATGATCATAATAATAGTAATAATAGTAGAGATTAATATTGAGTGTAGTAGATATAGCACTGGGTGGGCATTAGGAAGACTCATCTTCCTGAGTTCAAATCTGGCCTCAGACACATACTAGCTGTGTGACCCTGGGCAAGTCACTAAACCCTGTTTGTCTCAGTCTTCTCATCTGTAAAATGAGTTGACGGAGGAAATGGCAAACCACTCCAGTATCTTTGTCATGAAAATTTCAAACGGGGTCATAAAGAGTTGGACATGACTGAAAAATGACTGAACAACAACAGATTACAGTTACGAAGTGCTTTAAAATCATCATTTTATTTGACCTTCCCAATGAACTTGTGAATTAGTACAAATGTTATCTACATTTTATGGATGATGATAAAGGGAATCAGAGAGGTTTAATGACTTTATCCAAGTCACACAGCTAGTAAGAAAGACAGCCAGACTTTGAGCCCAAGTAATCTACCTTAGGTTGGCTTTCTCCTCTATGCCATGATTCATTCATTCATCTGACAAATATTTATTAATTGCATAGTACTGTGCTGGGTCTGGCATTGTCATATTTGACACATGGTCCAATCTACCTAATAAGTATGTATAATGTGATTACTACATTCAAGACACTGTATTGGGTGCTGGGAGCACAAAGACAAAATGAAAAACAGTGCCTGGCCTCAAGGAATTTTTATGGCTATGCCATCTTTTGGATTAAGTTAGAAGGTCTCTAGGGATCTCAGAGACAGACATTTGAAGAGGTACTTTTTCTCATTCATAGATCATAGGACTTAGAGCCATTAGACACTGAATGACTATTTAGTCGCACCCCCTAACTTTACAGATAAGCAAACTGAGATCATTTGAGGTTAGGTGACTTGGTTAAAGCCATACGACTAGAAAGTAGAAGAAGCTGGGATTCAAACCCAGGTCCAGTAATTCCAAATATGGGTTATTGTTGTTGTTGTTGTTTTTAGTACACATGACCAGGTTTCTATGTCAATGTGATTATTATCCTACTACTTGCATTCTTAAGCATGCATTGCTTCAGACCAACACCATTTTCCCAAGTCAGGTCCAACAAAGAAAGGAGAGAAGCAATGATTCCAGCACCTGCTACATAGCAATAATGATAACTGGCACATGCACAGTGCTTTACAATGTACAAAGCATTTCATATAACATTATCTTATTTGAGTTCATTGATTAAATATCCCTTAGCACAATAGAAACCAGGCTTGAAATAATAATAATAATAGGTAATATTTATAATAATATATTATATTATAATAATTGTGTTATAAAATTATATGTGTAACATGTTATACATTATAGAATAATAATATTATTATAAATAACATTTATGATAACATTTACTTACTGTGTGTCAAGCACTCTGCTAAACTCTTTACAATTATTATCTCATTTTATCCTCATACCAACCCTGGGAGATAGGTGCTATTATTATCCCCATTTTACAGATGAAGAAACTGAGGCAAACAGAGGTCAAGTGACTTGCCCAGGATCACACAGCTAGTGTCTTAGACCAGATTTGCAATCAGGTTTTCCTGACTCAAGGCCTGGTGTTCTATCTACTATACCACCAGCTGCCTCAATATTATAATTCTGTTCATATTTCCAGCATGATTCTCTTCTAGCTTCTCATGCCACTGTTAGGCTTGTACTAACAACATAATGAGAAATATATGTACCCTCAACATGCATTTTTATAAAATAAAAATTTTTGCAAAGCATTCCTCCAAGCCTTTAATAGCATGTGCATTTTTTAAAATCCCAAACCAGAATTAGACTCTTAGCCTTTAGAATTCATTCATACCTATTATTCTGTTTGTAGAAATATCTGATTAAATTGGGTATAGGTGTCTCCATAAAATGCTCTACATTCATAGTCAATTCTAAACTGTCTACCCTGAGGGAGGTAAGCATTAAACAGGTGTGATGGGAATCTTTCATTTCTTCCTAATTACATTTTATTATGCCATTTGTCCTGTATATCTGGCTGACTCCTGAAACCTGTTTCCTATGAATATTAACTTCACTTGGCTAAAAAAAGATCTGACTCATGGAATAATAATATTAAGGGAAGACTTTTGACATTCCTAAGAGAAGAAACCAAATGAGAGGAAGAAGGGAATATAGCATCTTTAAACCTCACTGCCCCCCCACCAAAAAATAGATTTTATTTGTGGAAAAACTTACCCGAGCAGAGGCTTAGTGACATGTAAATTTTTTCCTATCAAATAGCTCATTGTGTGTCAGATGAGATTGCTAGAGCTAATAGTTCTTGCTCCACATCCCCTATACTCAAAATATGGTATTTTCCTTATAGCAATTACTTCCTATTCACTCAATGTGACTCAGTAAAATTGCTACTGGTAGAGACTACGTATCACTGAGTAAAATTTCCTTCTTCACTCTGCACAGTAGGAACAATGGTGTTGACTCCTCATCAGTGAGGCGGGGTGCAGACAGGTGGCAGTGATTGGGGCAATGAGCAACAACAGAAGGAAAAACCCATCTCAGAAAAAGAAGGCATGGGTCCAGAGTCATAATCCAAGAAACTAAATAGAAAAAAGGGGACAGGTAAAGCCAGAACTCAAATCTAAGACAAAGGTTGCAAATGGAGTTCATTACTATAATATAAATCTGGGGGATCAATTTGGAGGTAAGGATAGCATACTGTGAAAGAGAGTAGTATGTACTGGAGAAAGGATAATTTAGTTGCCTCCACATTTTCTCCCTCAAGTAGTATTCTGTTGTGGTGTTGACATGATAATTATACCCTTTCATCTTTCTGTTGCATTGACCTTGCTGTCGTTCCGGGTGTCCATCTCTACCTCCAGAATGCCTCCCTGGAACTCAAGGCTATGACTTGTTAAAATAGCATGGGATGAAAGCCTTGACTAATTTTAGGACACACGTGTACATCATAGGGTGGTCCAACAGGGCGGTAGGGTACTGGTACTATATGGTAAGATTGTCTAGGGCTGGGCGAGTTGGGTCATAGTTATCGCTCCTCACTCCTTTTCTTGACAAAGTGAGCCCAACAAACCTCTTCTGCTAGCTCTTCTTCCTTCAGGGACCTCTACAGGAACCATTTCCCAAGACCCAGATTAAAAAGTAGATCTGGTCAGCTAGAATTTATATGTCTGGGATTAGACTAATCTCATAGTTGTAGGATTCATGTAGGGGCAATTTTTATGCTTCTGACAGTTCTAAAAATATGCTGAAAGTTCTAGTCCTGGGGAGGGAATTCTGGTTAGGGAGTCATAGTTGGACAAACGTGGTACATATCTATTTCTAGCAAAGTTTCCAGTCAAGTTAAGGGTGGTATATGATCTATTAAGTGTCTCACCAGCAGCTGAATTATACAATGCTAGCCAGGGGATCCCTAGCACCACTCAGAAAAGTAGAGAGAAAATTATTCTCAAGATAATGATTTCACAATTTTTCCCTCCCTTTGCCATTTGGGGATCGGTTTCCTAAATCAATGGTCTGAAAAACAAAATGAATGTCTATTGCTTTGACCATTACCAGGGAGGAACAGGATTGTAGAAGTACTCAATATCTCCCATAAAGTTCTCAGAGACCTACAGGGCCACCAGTTCTGGGATCCATAATGTCAGGTGGTTTGACAGTTTGATTTTGAGGGTCAAGGACAGATGGACTTTTTTGTTGCTTCCTCTCCTCTCTTGTCCTTTCCTCTCCCCCTCACCCATCTCCTCCCTCCCCAAAACCCCACCACTCGTCCCTTTCCTCTCTCTTCTCTCCTCACCTCCCTCCCAGCAAGAGCATCATAAACCCTCCATCTGGGACTAAGATTTATAAAGATTCTTGGGACTTTGCACCATACTTGCAAACACTGAATGACACTATAGAAGATGAAATCTTTCTTCACTCATCCTGGATAAAAGAGTACTTCACTTGGGCTGGATTTAAGAATTACAATCTTGTGATCAGGGTATGGTAATAAGGAGTGCTATGATGTATCTTCTGTTTTCTACTAACTTTTATTGTGCTTTATATAGTTTACATTAGTTTATAACACCCTGATTTGTTTTTGACTAAACATTTCTTGTACACTGCACCCAGTTCCTTATGACCAGGATAGCTTCC